GACATGAAAGAGACGAAACTTGGGCCCATGTCTTTCTTTCTCTATCTCTTTCTCTCTCTCTGTGCCTCACGCGCACTCGAGCGCGCGCACACCACCTGATCAAGAGCGTAAATACGTACTCGACCCTTCCGTAGCGTCTTATAACAGATTCTGCAAAATATAGGAATATAGGATAGGTGTTCTCTATCGCTTACTGTATATATAGACAGGCCTGGCACCCGCCTTTATTGATATTGAGTGTTCTAATTGATTGGTTTTGTGTCGAATAGAATGGAAATATGAATTATAATTCACGCAGTTCCCTTTGTTCCTTCTTTGAACACTAAAATCTCCAAGTTGTTTGGTCATGTCCTATTTAAAATAACTTGATTGTGTGTGACAGAGGTCATAATATTTTCAGTCTACTTTAAAACATTCATATTTCAGCCAAATAGTGTGCACTGGGCCCATTCACTGTAGCACTGGGTTTTCTTTGCGCGCTCTTTTTTTCTACCCTTTCGTTTTTCTCGAACGTTTTGAATCCCTTTTTGAGTCACTCGGGTCACGTGGTCCAGTGCAGTGTAGCGCCTCATTTAACATTTCGCGGGCTACCTGGGTTCGTAAATGTCTTTTAAAATCGCAAAAAAAAGCGAATTCAAGTCGAGTGCGAAAGATTTAACAACAAGAAGAAAATAACTAAAGTAAAAACAAAACAAAACAAAAAAACCGCTGTATGCAATGAACGATACAAAACAAAAAAAACCGCTGTATGCAATGAACGATACAAAACAAAAAAAACGCTGTATGCAATGAACGATACAAAACAAAAAAACTGCTGTATGCAATGAACGATACAAAACAAAAAAACTGCTGTATGCAATGAACGATACAAAACAAAAAAACTGCTGTATGCAATGAACGATACGGGCAAACATAAAGAAAAGGGCAAAGCCGTTAAAAGCATTCGTTGCCAGTGACCTTCAGTTTTACATGAGAATATTCCTTCCTTCAGTTGGCAATCCTCTTACTTGTAGGCGAGTGAATATAAATACATAAAGAGAAAGAGAGGGAGATAAAGAGAGAGAGAGAGAGAGAGAGAGAGAGAGAGAG